GGACAGGGAGCTCAGGGACTCAGTCCGGGCTGTCAGCGCTGCAGGAACACCTCATTCCCGGTTTTCCTGGSGTTTCCAGGATCCTCCGTGCCGTGCTACCCATGAGTAATCCCCCGGCGATGCCGTTTGCCCAGGGTGGAGGTTCCTCTGCACACCCAGATGCTCCAAAGTCCAAACTGCCGCCCTGTTTGGGGCTGAACTCCGGGGAGCCGATGAGGATTCGCCCTGGGGCTCGTTCTGCCCGCAGTGGGATCCTTTTCCTCGCCATTCCCAGCGCCTCTCCAAAGGCTGCGYCCATCCCCAAAAATCCCCCAAATCCTCAGCAAAGCGATTAAACAGCGGGGGGGGTGAGGATGGGGCAGCGATTATCGCAGCGGCCACAGAGATCCCGATCCCACAGCGGGGGAAAAAGGACCCGTTTGGGAAAGAAAAAACAACCCCCAGGATGGGCAGGATCTGATCCACGGCTCCAAACGAGCCACAGCCGGGTCCCCAAGGAGCTGTGAGCTGGGCACGGGCCAAGCCTTGGCACTTGAGCTCATTAATTAATAACCCCGGTGTCATGGGCCATTTATCAGCTGAAAATATTAATAACTGCCAAAGCTCCTGGGACATCCGGCCGTTTGCTAGATTCCTGCCACTCCATCCTGCTCCCAGCTCCYGCAGACGCAGGAAACATTCCAGGTRTTTGTTCCYTGATCCCGCASCGGGGTCRGGAGATTCTCAGGAGAGAAAACARCCCTGGRWGTGTTTCAGGGGTGGGAAGGATGTTTGGAGCCACAAAAGGGGAACCCAGAGGGAATCTCCATCTCCCTCTGCCCCCCGACACGCACCTCGGGCACTTTGGCTGCTCAAGGTCCCTGAGCCGCCACCGAGAGGCCCCAGCCCTTCATTCAGAAGCAATAAACACGGCAATAAAAACACCCAGAAGCTCTGCCGGAGCCCCGGGTGCCCGCGGGCAGGGAGTTTCTGGCTCCTGCCGGCTCCTGCCAAGGAAGATTTGCACCTTTCGGAGCGCCCGGTGCTGAAGCAGCTCCCAGCTGTTCCATGCTGTTCTCAGGGAAATGCTGACATTTGGGAAAAAAACAAACAAACGAGGCGATTCTGCATTTTGAAGTGGAGGCTTCATTTGGAAGCGTTCCCTCCTCCTCCTCCTCCTCCTCGAGGTTGCTTGGATGCCTCCCCATCCCCATTAGCGCTGCAGATGGTCATTACAATGCTCAAAAATGAGCTTTAAAAAGCCCCAAGAACCGCAGCACCTCGAATCCTCCATCTGAGCGCTGCAAACGATCCGCCCGACGCCACTTTTTCCCAAAAATTGCGATGTTTCAAGGCAAAGCTTCTGTACCAGGGGGTGTGTGCATGGGAAGGGTCCTGGCCAGGGTGGGTTTGGCCCCACAGCCCCCACCCCACCGTGGCCTCCTGCTCCGGCTGCCCCAGCCCTGCAGGGTTCAGGCTGAATCACAAATTCAGTTTTTCCCCTCGGAGCAGCATCCAAGGTCAGCCAAGGTCGGTGAAAGCTCATCCAGCGCAAGCCCGGGCTCCGCTCGGCCGAATCCGACTGAATTCGCTGCCCGGGGGTTCCTGGTGAGCTCCTCTCCCTTCCCACGGGATCCAGCCCCATCCTGAGCCTCGAGGAAGAGGTTCATGATGGGTTTGAGAAGCACAGGCAGGGCAGGGTGGGGGAAGATCCCATCCCAATCCTGGGTCCATCCCTAGGGTCAGCCAGACAGGAGGGACAGCCACAGACATGTCCTGACAGTTCTTTTAGTCAGGAACCCTCTGGCACGGCTCCACAAAACCCAAAGCCCATCCCAGAAGTGTCAGAGACCTTTCCACCAGGCTCCATCGAGCACAAACCCCATCACAGACCCCCAAACCCCACAGTTTTGGGGTGAAGATGTATTTTAGCAGTGTCTGGAAACAGCCCAATGTTCCCCCTGCGCACCCAACAGCTGGCAGCCCTGAAATCGCCGCTCTAATCAGCTGTAAATCCTCAGAAGCACCCCAAGGATTAGAGGCAGATATTTGGAAATCCCACAGGATCCCGGGATGAGCAGAGGGACCGTGTCCTCCCACCCACGGAGCCACAGGTGGCCACGGTGGCACCCCTGGGGCCACCCCTGGCACCCCATTCTGCACCCTTTGATCCTTTCACACCACCCGGGGCTGAACCTGCCCATCCCAAAATCCTGGAGGGATTCTGGCAGCTCCGAGCSCTTCCCTGGATGCTGCAGAAGATCAAATTCCCGCGATTAATTCAATATTCAGAGGTGGATTTTGGTCAYGGAAGGGGATGAGGAAGGGTTGTCTGTCCCCACTGTCCCCACTCCAGCCATAGAACCCCACTGGTGACCGGGGTGGATCCTGAAAGGTTCAGGGAGGGGAGCCAGAGGAAGAGCAGCTCYCACTGACCCCACCAGTGTCACCAGAGAGGCTGCGGGACATTGCCAGCATTGCTGCGGGGTGACAGGTGACATTGTGACCTCCCTGGCAGCAGCGAGGCGGGAGCAGCCGCGCCAAGAGCTGAACGAAGCGGGGACGCCCCCGTCACCCACTGAGCCCCCCAAAATCACCTTTTCTGCCACCCTGCAGCTCCTGCGGACAGACAGACCCCGAGGGCGCGGACGGACGGAGCCAAATCCCGATTGCCGAATGCTCCCGGGCTCGGGATCGGATTAAAGTTCAGCGCGACGGCCGGGGCGGCTCGGAGTTTTCCAAGAACATTATTTAGCGCTCCGCAGCCATCCGTCCGTCCGTCCGTCCGTCCATCCATCCATCCATCCATCCATCCATCCATCCATCCATCCATCCATCCATCACGGGCTGACAGCCCCCTGGCATCATCCCCGGCCCCACGGAGAGGGATGGCACAGCCCGAATCTCAGTTTGCCGCCTGAGCAAAGCCCACCGCCGCCCCGTGCCTCAGTTTCCCCGGTGGTACAGCAGGGATGGGGCATTGGTCACAGCGAGGAGAGGAGGAGGAGGAGGAGGAGGAGGAGCCTGGGCTGCCGTCCATGACAAGGAGCTGCATCCCGCCACCCAGCCAGGCTGTCCCTCTGCTCCGGGCGGCGACGTGAGCTGGCAGCGGCTCCAGGAACGCGGGTGACACTCGGGTCCCCAGCAGGGAGGGCTCGGAGCCGTCCCCTCGTGAAGTGTCGCACGGAGCTTCGCCACGCACGGTGCCACCTGTCACCGGGCTGTCACCGGGCCCCCGTGGGCACCAGAGCCCCGCGTTTGGGGGTCCCGCGGCCCCGAGAGTGGCAAGGGGGGCTCGCAGGTTACAGACACAGCCCCCAGCCCTGCCAGGCTGCCAGCCCCGCGTTCCCGCTGCCGTTCCGGGGTACGGCCGCGCTTCCAGGCGCTCCCACGTTCAAACCCGGCTGGCTCAGCCTTCGTTAGGTAACACCGACTGTCCCTCTAATCCCTCGGAGCAGGGGAGCCTGGCAGGGACAGCGACACCGCTGTGCCACCCCGCTGGCCCGGGCACGGGCTCGGCTCCCGGGCTGTCCCCCGGCTCTGGCAGTGCCACCCCGCCTGTCCCTGGCAGTGCCACCCCCCTGTCCCCGGCAGTGCCACCCCGCCTGTCCCTGGCAGGGCCACCCCGCCTGTCCCTGGCAGGGCCTCCCGCCTTGGCGCAGCTCATGGGGCACCGGGCCACCCTGCAAGGACACCTCAGCCCGGGAGGGACCCAGGAACGCCGCCGGGATCTGTAGGATCCCAAAGAAACGCCACCGGGATCTGCAGGATCCCAAAGAAACCGGGGGGATCCGGGGAGACCCCGGGTAACYCAGGGGTGCCGTGGAGGAGTGGGGGCACTCAGGGCATCCCCAAAGACCTGCACAGAGGCAGAGGGGTCAAAGAAACACCGGAGAGACCCGKGGGGACCCCAGAGAGCCCAGAGGAAACGGGGAACACGGAGAGACTCAGGGGGACCCCAAAGCACGTGGAGGAAACGCGGCACCTGCAGGGACCCCAGAGAGCCTGGAGGAGATGGGGCACCCACGGGGGGTGCCACGGGGGAATCCTGAGAGGATGAGGCACCCAGGAGCACCCCAGGGAACCTGCAGGGGATGGGACACCCGGAGAGCCGCGGGGGCACCGGGAGGAGCCGGGGCAGGGGGTGCGCCCGAAGCGGCTGTGTCCCCGCGGGGCGGGGAGCGCTGAGCGACACCTCGGGGTGGGGGGCTCTCACCGATTTGGGTTTCTTCTTGGGGGCCAGGTTGTCGTAGAAARCCTTGGCTTCATCCCAGGGCCGGTCGGGCGCCCCGGCGGGCTCCGGTGGCTCCATAGCGCGGCGGCACCGGCGGGGCTGCTCCGTGCGCGGCGGCGGMGGCGGCTCCGCCAGTCCCGGGAGCTCCCGGAGCCGCGGCCGGCCCGGCGGAACGCGCTTTATAAGGCATCCCATGAAGCTCCGGGGTTTCAGTCCACCGGGACACGGATTAACCTCTTCGCGACCGAGCGTTCCACCGCCGCCGCCGCCGCCGCGCTCCCCGCGGTGATAGCGGGGTGTTGCGGGGAATTAAAGAGGGGATCCCCGCTCCAAAGCAGAGCCAGCCCTGGGGGCAGCGAACCCTCGGGAGAGAGGGGAAGGGGCTGGGGACAAAGGGGACATCGGCAGAGCCCCGGGAGGACACGGAGCAGGAGGGAATGGGGCACCCCTGGGGCTCTGCTCGGCCCAAGCCGCGGAGATTTGGGGTTTTTCCATCTCCGGAGAGCACGGGAAGAGCCGGCAGCTGGAGAGGATGGAGCCCCCAGGATGGTGGCAGCGCGGGGACAGAGGTGTGGTGGCACCCTGACCCGTGCCAGGGTGACCCGTGCCACGCACTCATTAAGGGAATTAATGTGGGTTTTAATTAGGGCTCTCCACGCCCGCGAGTGACAGTGGGAGCAGCAACAGAGCTGCGCGTTCAGCTCAGAACAAAAATTCCTCCCTCAGGGAGCAGRGGGGATCATCCAGAGAACAAAACCCATCATGTAGGAAGGGCCGATGATGGAGGATCTCACCCGGAACGGGGCAGCTCCGGGGGGAGGTCACAGAACAGGATTTTACCCAAATCCCTGAGTTTTAGCTGAAAACAGCCCTCCCTGGAACCCACAGCCCTGGGGACCCGCGTGTCCCCSTCCGTGTGACAGACCCGACACCAAACCAGACAGCAGAGCCAGGGGAGCTGTGCCTGGTGAATCCCAAACCTTTGGGGAATTCATCATTTCACCCTCACAGATTTCCCTTCCCCGGGGGCTTCGCAGCTGGGGAACACCTGAACCCGCTTTGGGGTGGCCCCTGGGGGAATCAGGATCTCCGAGGGCTATTCCTGGAGCTCTCCTCGAGCTTTTGAGCCGCTGCCCTTTCAGGCAGCAGCCCTGGCACGTCCCCAACTCCCCGGGGTGGCACAGCCTGCCCCGWTCCCTCTCTCGGAGCTGCGAACCCACACGCGCGCTCCTGGAAAGCTYCGCGGCCAAACGAGAGGTGCGGAGCTCTCCCCTCCTAAAAATACCCTCCCTGCCGTGATTCTGGCACTCTCCCATCGCCGTGCTCGGGTTGAGAGCGCGGGGATCTGCAGGATCGTCATCGTGGGATGGGGAGAGCCGGGAACCAACCCCATTGTCCCCAAGAGCCAGCCCCGCTGTCCCCAAGAGCCAACCCCGCTGTCACCGGGAGCCAGCCCAGCCCTGCCTGATCGATTCCAGGGAAGGATTAAAATTTGGTGAGAGCTCCTTAGCAACAGTCACCGCCCGTGCAGGCTGCTGGTGAGAGGAGAAAGGCCGGAGAAAAAAAATCTGTGCGGGGAAGATGGAGGGTGGAGGAAAGAAGGACAAAGATTCTGTGAGAGGTGAAGGCAGATGGAGCTGGGGACAAAGCCCTGAGGGACGGGCACTGATCAAACCCCATTTCCAGCACAGCCCAGGGATGCCCGGTCCTTCCCTCCCCACCCCAAAAGGAACATTCCCTCCCCCAGAGCTGCCTGCACCACTCAAGGGTTTCACCTCCATCCACTTTCAAAGTCTGTGCTGCCCCCAAGGGTTTCTCCAACCTTTGGGGTGTCACAGGATCAGTTGAGACCCCAAAACACTGCCCAGAAATGCAATGTTGTCACCTCACTGTCCCCAAAGCTTTCTCCATCCCTTGGGGTGTCACAGGTTCAGGCAAAACCCCAAAACGATGCTCAGGAGTGCGGTGCTGTCACCTCACTGTCCCCAAAGGTTTCTCCATCCTTTGGGGTGTCACAGGCTCAGCTGAGACCCCAAAACACTGCCCAGTAATGCAATGTTGTCACCTCACTGTCCCCAAGGCTTTCTCCATCCCTTGGGGTGTCACAGGTTCATGTGAGACCCCAAAACAGTGCCCAGGAGTGCGGTGCTGTCACCTCACTGTCCCCAAAGGTTTCTCCATCCTTTGGGGTGTCACAGGCTCAGTTGAGACCCCAAAATGATGCTCAGGAGTGCAGTGCTGTCACCTCACTGTCCCCAAGGCTTTCTCCATCCCTTGGGGTGTCACAGGTTCATGTGAGACCCCAAAACATTGCCCAGGAGTGCGGTCACCTCACTGTCCCCAATAAACCATTCTGGACACGCCACACATGGGGAACAGTTTATTTTTTCCATTAAAAAAATAGGAACGACTTCACCATCTCGTGACAGAAATCACAGCCACCGACACCACAACGTGCAGACAAAACAYGATTATTCCTGGCCTGGGGTGGGAGGGGTGGACACAGCCGGCTGGGAGCAGGGAGGAAGGAGACAGATTTGGTTTTTTGTGGCCTCAGAGCTTTGCCAGGAGGCTCAGCAGGTTCAGGAGCCACCCTCACCCTCCTCACAGCCCCAATCCCGCACCCAGCTGACCTCACAGCACCCAGAGCTGCCTTCTGTACCACAGTCCTGACCCTGCTGCCAATTTGGGACCCCGGGCATCACCTCGATGTCCAGGAATATCCAGGAATATCCAGAGGAATATCCAGGAATATCCAGGAATATCCAGGAATATCCAGAGGAATATCCAGGAATATCCAGGAATATCCACAGGAATATCCAGGAATATCCAGAGGAATATCCAGGAATATCCAGGAATATCCAGGAATATTCAGGAATATCCAGGAATGTCAGAAATGCCACAGAGCACTGCCAGGGATGTCACCCACCCACCTGATGAATGGTAGGTGGCTTTGGGATCGGACACTGGCCACATCCAGGGCTACCTTTGGATATTTCTGACCAACCCTGGCTGCTCCCGGCAGGAAAAGCAGAGGTGGAAGAATTAAGCTGGTGCAAGACCCTGCCCAGCACCCTTGGGAGCAGCCCTGACCCCTCCAGGGATCCCTTCCAGTGAAGAAGGGATCAGGAACTGCACTTGGGACACTTTTGAGCCTCCCTGGAGACATCACAAAGCCATGAAGGGTGGGGGAACGGCAGAAAGGGCATGGATTTGGGATCAGGGAATGGGCCAGGGGTGGAAAGCAGGGAGAAAGCATCAGGGATGGTCAGCACTGGTCAGCCAGGACACAGCAGTGGCCGCAGGGAGAGGTTGGTTGGGCTGACGGTGTGGGGTTTGGGGTGTGGGCTGCCCGGGGTGCAGCAGGAACAGAATGTGGCTCATGCCTGGGGCCAAACGGGGRAAAAACGGGGATCAAAACCATCACAGGGGGCAGAGTTTGGCCKCAGCCAGTCCAGCCCGGAGCGCCAGGGCTCTATTTCTGCATGTCACACTGCAGGAGCAGCACGATGGACGGGTCACTCTTGGCCGCCTCCTTGAACTCCTCCAGGGAGATCTGGTCRTCCTTGTCCTTGTCCATCTTTGTGAAGATTTTGTCCACTCGCTGCTGCGGCGTCAGCCCGTCCTGGTTCATCCTCATCATGATCACAGTCCCCACCATCTTGTAAATGGCCTGGAGGGAGATGAGAGTGG